TTTTAAAATCTAATGCAATAGTTCTGCAACAAATTATATCTTTGTGAAATACACAATGTTACATTTACATTGTTTTAACAGTTATTCAATTTCTTCTAAACTGGTTACAACTTCCCATCTTCAAAAATACAAGCCCCTCCACCTCTGTCTGCCCTGAAATCACCAGCAATGAGAAACATTACACACACTCGTTTTTTAGTTTCTGGTGACTACACAGCCAGTCAACTGCGGCCTGCTTGGCACTCAAGTATTCCTTAGCGTTGCCACATTTTGGTCTGAATGTTACCTGAATTGTTAGTATTTAGGCTGTGTGAACAGCATTAGAGAAATGATGTTTCACTTACAGTCTGTCAGGCTAGCAATTCCAGCAAGAGTAGTGATGGGAACATGAGGCATATCACCATTCATGCTGAAGATGAGGTCAAGAGGTCGTGTCAATGCACAGGCTGCTCAATATCACCAATCTCTTCCTATTCCTCACATCTCCAAAATGCTGCAGAGACAAAAACAACAGACAGTCTTACAGAACGCTCACTGTCAACAAGGTTGGATGCCATCACATGCAGCACTGATCCTATTAGGATTTCACGTATTAATACATAGCCAAGTGTTTTCCCCTTGACTACAGTGTGCTTCCTCTGGGATGAGGATTTCAAAATTGTGTCAGCTCATGAGTGTGCATTATTACACTGCCAACAAAACTGCAACCTCTGACGTAGACGTTCACACCGGCCTTGTAGCAAGCCTGTGCATGCCATTATAAGTTATTGATTTATATCAGCTTCTGGTGTCCGGACCGTCTTGCTTCCTGGTCCTGTTCTTCCTCAGTAACCTACGCACCTTCACTGTGTGCATATTTGTAGGCTATGATTGTTCAACCTGTTCAGGTCGAGCATGCAATGGCTGCAGAAAACAGTCGGGGCATTTAACAGTTTTAGTTCTCGTGTGAATGCAGTACGTCGTGCGTTGCAAGTAGATTTTGGGGAGGTGACAAATCTCCCTATCGTGGAATTAATGATAAAAAAAAAAGTTACGAGTACGTCTCCCTCTCTGTGTGTCTCTTACCTCGAATGTCACTTTGTCTTGAGTTTGTAATATAAATCCCCGCAGCTGAAAGCTACCAAACATAACCCAGCGACAACACAGAGAGCCTTGTCGTTAGTGAAGCTAGCATTATATCAGAAATTCTTTCTTTTGTTAGTGTCAGTGAACGCTAAGGTTTCCGGGGCTGCCTCAAACGCACAACAGCGACGTTAGCTCATCTTAACACCACATACGACTGTATTATTACCCACTTACTAGCACCTCGGCTTTGTAGACACTCGCTAAAGAGAACGAGCCGCACATCGACTGTCTGTGAAAGTGACTTAAAAAAAAAAAATCAACTCGGGGTTAGCCGGCTAGCGACAGACTGGAGATGTAGCTAGCTAACGTATGCTAACTGGAAAGGTATATCTGTAACTTGCCTAAGCTAGCATCACCGGGAGTGCATCAAGCCCGGTTAGCCGCGGGTAGCCTCCGCTGTGTCGCTCTTTTTTTTTAATCACACGGGTCGTGTACGGGTTTGGATCCCCACCTCACACTTACTATGGCCTTCGTCGACGCATCTCTAGCTCACAAAGTGGACCTCGGACTCGCCTAAGGAAGCGTAACCCCGACCCGACGCCTGGGAGGCAGGGGTACAAAGCGAAGACCCCATCACAAATCAGAATGACCCCCCCTTCGGCTGATCCCGTTAACGGTCCCCCAACGGCTGCCCGGTGTGCCTGACAACGCGGATGCACTCGGGAGGCGAAACGATTCGTCTGAAAAGAGGTTGTTATTGTTGAATGTGGCTTATTTACCTCTGGATGTGATGAGAAAGAGAAGTGGTTCTGGTGGAGGAGGAGGAGGAGTAGCGGGAGGAGGAGGAGGGGGAGCGGGAGGAGGGGGAGGAGCAGGAGTAGGATGGCAGCTGGAGCTGGAGAAAGAGTCTCTAGCTCCCTCTCCGTCCCACCGTTCAAACAGCTCCTCTCCGAGTAAATAGCGAACACAACGGCAGTGGTTCCCGGTGGGAGGACTGGGGGCTTTTCTTCTTTCTCACGGACATATCTGCTGGGAGAGGGGGGGAGAGCATCCCCCCCTTTAAAACCGGGCGGACGACGGTTTTATCAGTCGCTGGAGGTTATGTGTGTAGGTGCCGGGTTATTTCTTTGATATTAAAACAATCAAGGGACAGAGGGGGAAGAAAACGAGGGGGGTCCACAGTGTCTATCCCTCTTATCCTCTCTCTCTCTATCTCTCTATCTCTCTCTTTCAAAATGCCGACCGGAAGAACCGGTAAAAGGAATAACTCCCTCAACCGGCGGGGAGCTAACTATGTGAACGTTATTACGGCCGGTGGTTTGCTTTTTAAAAAAAATATATAATAATGTTTATACACTGAAATAATTTAATCCAGTACTAATAAAAGATTTTCCCTTTGTTTCTATTTTCATTATATCTTTATTTTATGTTGTTATTTAATGTTTTTTTTTTTTTTTTTCTGTGGCTGCTGTAACGTGGATTTCCCCAATGTGGGATCAATAAAGTCTATTTTCTCTTATCTTCAGGCTTCACATCATATGGATCTGTGATGTTTTTAGATCTGGATCTTTAAGGCTTTACTCTTCCCCACATTATGCTGCATTTCCTTCACAAAAAACGTAAATTATATGTTTTATCTTTACTTAACAGATTACTTTTTAAAGTCTTGTCTTGTGTATTCAACTGAGAGAGAGGGGGGGAGGTGTGTATGTATGGGTTTGTCATCACAACAAACACATGAACAATCAGTCAATCAGCTGACAGCTCCCCGAAACAAACTTACCCAGCATTACCCAAAGCTGCAAAAGTCTCCTCCTCATAAGTTTTTCCTCTCATGCTGCAAACTATTCAGAAGTTGAGGCCAGTTGAAAACAGAAATAAACTAATTCATATCGTCCAACATGCATTCGGCTTGAGACGCATCGCTCAGTTTCAGGTTTTGGTCTCCCTCTTGTGGAGAGAAGTTAAATGGTTTTCCAGACTAAAATAAACTTTTGGCCGTCTCTTGTGTGTTTCCCTGTCTTCCAGTCTGGGTGTGTCATTGTCCAGATTAGCTTCTTTTTTTTTTTTTAGGCTGACATTTTCATTTTGATCATTTGACGAAAATATCTGTTCAACAGTTCCGGCCTGGGTGAAGACAAACCAGAACCATTTTATATAATTGAGAATGATCCACTGTAAGAAAATACACTCTCATATTCTTTACATTTATTACATTAAGACTATGATCAAAGATCAATGGTGTGATTTATTAATATTTAGCATTTTATATTTTATTTTAAAGAAACACATGAACCTTAACATGAGTCAGAGAGTGTGGGGCCACTTGAATTCTGTCTAAGACTTAAAAATAATGCCAATAATGCAATAAATGTCATCTTGGTATCCCTTCTGACACTGAAATGCGGTGTTAAACTTGATTATTGCGGTGATACCGCTTGTGTTTTTTATTTTTAAAATAGCTGATGGACAACAAAACCCCCTCATGAGTACGCTGAACACACTTTCAACAAACGGCAATGTTTCTGAGACGCTTTGCTCTTATTTCCAAGGGTGTTGACTGTGGTTAAATGTGACACAGAAATGTTCATTTTGTTGAATCATTAACTTCTGGTTTCACATATAAAAATAGCACAATTTTCTCTGTTATAATATGACAGTAGACTCACTCAAGGCTTGGCAGATGAGGCAATGATCAGAATCATGAAAAGCATTCATTTTATACCATTTACCTTCTAAAGACGAATTCATTATTTAACTCAAAGTAAAATATTATAAAGATGATAAGTTTTAGAGGTTCTTCACACTGAGGTTATATGTACATCATTATTTTCTAGTAGAACAAAGGGATCTATTGCTTTTTCCCTTTTTTTTGGAAGTCTGTTGCTTTTTGTTTGCAGACAAAAGATAATAGACTATAGAAGAATCCCACATCCATGATTTTGGACTTTTTCTCAGTCTTTCAGAATAGAAAAACTCAAATATTGGTGGGCCTATAGCTTTTTTACCTGTGGCAGTACTTGATAAGGATAGTATTCAGATTTATGGTATTTGTCGATATTTGATGATACAACTTGAAACAACAAATGTTTCCAAAGCACTAATAATATGCTATTGAATTAGGTGTTTACTTTATTTCCCCCTATATTTATTATTAATGTGCTGAAGGTGTTAGCAGGCCTATAAAACTACTGTATTGGATTAGGATATTTGTGACAAACAAGATCACACTCTCACACACACACACACACACACACACATTTCCATATAAAAAGCTAGCAGCTGACGCCTGTAGTTTCACGAGTGGATAATAATGTTGCGTTCAGGACCGCGGGGTTTCACGGTAATTACTCTGCTTCAATGGGTTTAACCATGAGCCTCTAACCCGTGACGGTCATGAGGGTTTTCTGCCCCTCTCTGCTCTCCAGCACACTGAGCAGTGAAATAGCAGAGGTCCGAGGAGCCAGTCTTTTTGAGAAGCCATCCCAACCAGAGGAACTGTTCCCTGCAATCTAATTATCCAATTTGGTAAGATGATGGTTTGTTTTTCTTATTAATTATTTCTAGCAGAGGTAGCCATGTATCATAGGCATGCTGTAGAATATGTTGCACTGTGCAAAGAGTAGCTCATTTTAATTGACAGATGGATTTCAAACAGCCAGTTAACCTGATCAGACAGGACAAATAGATGCTGTAGACGGCCTGTTGATACTTTACAGCTACTTTAACAGGTGATGCTGTCACCTATCAGGTTATCAGTGGCACAAGAGCAGATCTACTGATCTACTGATCGATAAGATTATGTTCCGATTGGTTTACCGTCTGTACAACTTGTTGATTTTAATCTTTGTACTTAGACTGCAGATTTTACATCTTTTCTGCAACCTACGACTAATATTAAACACGGCTGTGCATTTTTCTTATTAGCTAACATAAATATTACATTTTAAAGCACTTTTCGGTTATGGGATTGGTGTGTCAGCACTGGGCGAGAGAGCATCAGCCAATGCCAGGTGCGAGAGAGAGAGAGAGAGAGAGAGATGAAATGAGCAGGATGAAAACGCAGCAAGACACTTTAAGCTCTGAGCAGTGAGGGCACTGATCCATTAAATGGCCAATACAATTTTATTTTAATGAAGAGAATGAATTTAACTTTATCGAAATGCGCAAAATGGTGCAAATCCCAACAGCTTGTAACTATTGCGTGCCACTAAAAAGCGTCAACAGTGGTATCTGAACAAAATGTTATCCAAATGTTCCTGTTGCAGCGTTGAGCAGTGGGGTGGAGAAAGCAGTCAAAAAGAATCAATTTCCAGTAAGAATAGCTTAAGTTTTTTTACATGAAACCCTTAAATGTTGTGGAATTTTTTTTTAAATATGATACATTTTCATAATATTTCAACTTTCTTTATCTTTCATTTATCCTAATAGTTATGTTGAACTACAGAATTCTAAAGGGACAACAAATCAGTGTAACAGTGCACAGCTTCATGGTGGTTAAGTGTGTCAACACTGACTATGTGCTGCCTTTGGTTGCTGATAACCATGCATATGCATCCATGGGTGGGGATAATGTTGAGTGTTGTTCTTGACAAAGGCACAGTTAAGACTGGTTTGAAATCTGACATGATTGTCTAGTTTTAATTATTATCCAGGCCATTATCTACTTTTTTAAAAATATTGTACATTGCTCAGTTTATGAAGTGGTTTTCTGTTGACTTTCAGCTGGATGCTGTGCAATCATACAGACGGGATGCCTCGTGGAGACTTCAACATTTATTTTGCCAACAGCAGACGAGGATATGTCAGAGCTGAGGAGTATGTGTGTCTATTTTATTTTGAAATCAGGGATCAACACTTTGATTAAAGCAGCTTTTTGCACTGTGATATGAATACTGTAGCCATATTATGGTGAATACTATAAAACATATATACCAAAGTAATAGATTAAGCCTTAAATATGTCTCTTTGTGAATTGTGTTGTGATCTACAGGGCAGTGGGCATAGTTCTGCTGGTGGTCATCCTGGCAGCTCTCCTCATCATGGGCTGCTGGTACTTCAAGAAGAGGAGTGGCTACAAAATGATCAGGGTGAGACCATCATACTTCCTTTAATGAAGTATTCACATTTCATACTTAAAGGGTTTTCCTGACTAATAAAAGCAAGGAAGGAAAAACAAAGAAAATTTGATGGGTCCATCGATGTAATGTTACATATTTGTGTTGAAAATGTGTGTCCTAATCTGATTTACAACCTCTTTCAAAGATCTATGTTCCTCTTTGTTTATCTCGTTTCTGCTTTTGTTTTTTTCCGCAATTTATCACTGCGTCTTCATTTCTTGCTGTTTTCCCACAATTCCTTATACATCTTTCACTCCTACAGAACCCTAGATCGGGGTCAGCCGGTTACACAGGAGGCCAGTACTCAGAGGCAGGACCTTCAGCAGAAAATAAGATGGCTCTAACTGACTTTGGCAGCTTCAGACCTGCGGTGAGGGACAGGCAGTTACCCCATGACTGACTTTACTGACCTTCTATTGTATCTCCCTGTCCCTAAATCAGTTGTCAGCAAAAAGATTGATACCAACAAATTCAACAGCTCGACGCAGCTGGTCTATTTAAAAAATACATCACCAATCAACAGTTAACTAGTGGGCAGACTTAAACTCTGGACAACAAGTCCATGACAGAGGGTGCTTGTTTAGTACAAAGCCTCAGGGTTCTGAACACAGTGTTGAACACGTGAAGCTGATGCAATGGACGCCTGAAAGAGAGATTATGGTGTCACCAGACTAGGGGTTGGTCTAAATTTTCAGAATCATTCCCAAGGGAGGTATGTGTATCTATGTGTGGGAAAATCAAGGGAGGAGGCTCAGATCAGCACCCTCTGATAAAATTAAGTTACAAAACAATTCCCATTGTTTTTTATGGCGGCATTTACCAGAATTCTAACTGTTGAGTTACCAAAACCAAGATTGTTTAAACCCACCAAACACGCCTAGATTTTCCAGATATGATGCTGAATTCCATGCATGTACAATTTAGCTTCTGTATGTAATGATATAGCCATAAAAATATATGTTTGAATATTTAATCCTGTATAAACATAATAGAGGTTCAGTGACAAAATAATTACCAGTGAGAGTGTGGGAAACTGTTCAGCCGTTTCATTTCTACGTATTTACTATTTCACTCTTCTCCAGGTTCCTAATGCTCCCCCAGCCTACGAAAAGATTTCCTCAGGGCCACTGCCCCCTCCCTATTCCCCCTAAAGGACTTCCGTTGAAGATGGACGGATGTCTGAAAAAGAAAGGAAAACACTGAAGAACAAACACTTTACTTCATCTGTTGTTTTATGATATATAATCTGTCTGTCAATATGCATTGTAGCTAAATATACCAACAGGTCCAAGTATTGTATCCCTCACTTTGTAAAATTATCCAAATGAACAATTAAATGTATATAATGTAGGTTGTTTCAACAAACAATAAAAAATGATTCTGTGATTCTGAGTCTGTGTGTAAGGAATCAGCAACACGCTTGTTGGGGACAGTCGCATTGTTTATTTCCATGCAGTAATGTCCACATTTGTTCAATGAAAAGGTACCTAGTAAATATTTTTGAAAAATCTATATGGTAAAATAAATAAATGTGACTTCAAAACATTTTATATGGGCTCAAACATGTAGTACAAATGCATCTATTAGTTTTATTTATATTTCTAAAAAGTAAAATGTAGTTTACTAGTTGAAAAAACAATGACAGAATCTGCATACAGACAGTTGTATTGTTTAAAACTGACAAATAAAGTAGAGCAACTTGTACCAATGAATAGTATCCCAATTATTACTTCTTGAAGCAGTATCTAATGGCATTGAAAAGTATTACAAAAGCTTGAGTTGAAATTCATTTTATCTACCCTCCCGGTCTACTGATTTATTTTAACAGTTGTCATTACTGGCCATTAAGTACAAAAAAAGGAAATAACATTCATCTGAGGACAACCTCTACAGTTTTCAACCCATCACAGTATACATTTCCAGTATGTCTGATTGGGCATACAGTCTACCTATAAGATGATCTAACCAGAGGGTATAACCTACTGTATCCTAAATGTAAGTCACAAGTCAAACTACAGCTGGAAAGCAGTTCTTTAACTAGCCCCAGGATTACTACAAGCAATGGATATGAGCCCTGCCAAAACTAAGCAGATGAAAATGGTTTGAGAGTCCTCACAGAGCTGGCACAGTCTCAGTCAATTGGTGCACTTTCTGTCTGCCTGTGGCAGCTGTGACGAGGAATCATGTGTGTGTAGTGCTCCAGTGGAACTGTTGGGGGAAACCACCAGTGCATCCAGTGGCTTGGGGCAGGCAGTCAGCTCTGCTGGATTAACCTGGCACTGAACTGTGTTCAAAACAGCGCCATCGGGACTAATAAGTAGCTTGGATGCTACATTGGTGTGTATACCCAAGGATGAGGTCTGCAGAGAGTGCTTTCCAAGTGCTTGATTGGTCAGAACGACAGGTGGGTGGATGGTGTTGCTTGTCTTCAGTGATGTGATTGGTTGAGCTGGACTTATTAATACAGTGCTGCTAGATGAAGGTACGGTCACCACAGGTGCTGTTTCAAAGGTGTTGACAGTGCTTCCGATTGGTGTAACCGTTGCAATGGGCAGTGTCTGCATCCTAGATGCAGCACTCACAATTGGTGGTACAGACACTGTTGGCAAAACTTGTGTCCGTGTGCCAGCAAGCACTGGTTGCATGACTGCAGGCACTGTTTTTTTAATTGATGTGTTGTCTAGTCCTATATGCACTAAAGACTGCGATAGAGCAGTCGAGGATGCTGCAATTCCAACTGCTGTCTGCTGGGGCTGTATGACTGGGCCCAGGGTTGTCACTGAAACCATCTTGTTGGCAGCAAGAGAAGAATGCAAAACTGGTGTGCCTGCTGCCACAGGAGCTGCAGCTGAGGAGAAGGGTGAGGCAACTGATGGGCTGGGCAAAACAGGCAATGATGATAGAGGTGCTGACATTACGGACAACGGGGGTGCTACTGCAGGCGAAATGGTTGATGAACATTCAGCCTGTGTGGGTGTACCAGCAGCTAACCTGAGTGTAGCCAGTGCTGAGCCGAGAGCAGGGGCACTGGTTACCACTGGGGAAACTAGGGCTGGTACGCTGCCTACCCTTGGCAGGGATGAGACCACAGTGGGTGTACCTACAGGAGGTGACGCAAAATTATTGGCCTGCGAAGCTGGCAACCTAGGCAGAGCAGACACTACATTTGTTTTACTGGGTAAAAACGTTGGGGCCAGGCCAGGTGTTCCTGTTAGTCTGACTGGCGTGACATTGGGAGTGGTTGCTAGCAATGAAGGACCAACAGCAGGTGTGCATGCTACAAAAGGACAACTTACGGCTGGCACACCAGGAAGCCTGACTGGGGACTGGGGTAAAACTGGTGGTTGATGGGCTACAGTGCCATGGCTTGCCCTTTGGGGAGGTACTGATGCTCCAGTGCTGGTAGCCCTGGCAGTAGGCACTTGTTGTGGTACAGGGCTAGAGATGATAAGGACATGGCTGCCTGGACTCAAACCCTGGGGAGGGACTACAAAACGTGCATTGTTAAGGAGGATCTGTGTGCCAGCAGCAAGGGGAGTAGAAGTGTTGATGACTATCTTCTGCTGGATTGTGCCGGTAGCAGAGGTGGTGAACTGGGTATTGGTGGTTGTTGCAGAGGAGATGGGTGTTTGGGTTTTATTGAAAGCATGCTGAGAGGAAGATAAGTAGGAAGTGGTTTCCTCACCACTGCCACTTTGGATATTTGAAGACTGACGGACAAGAGTGGGTGTGGAGGTTTGTCCTGGGCTATTCTGCACAGTAGTGGCCACCTGAGCAGGAGAGTGGCTGGACAGTGTATTTGGGGGAATACCAAGGTCCTTCTTGATCATGTTTCCTGCAGTCAGACTGGCAACAGTAGACGTTGATGTTTGGGAGCTCTGGGGGAAAGAAGGGATACCTTGGAGATGAGAAGTGGTGGTCAGAGAAGCATGTGAGGCAAGCTGGGCTGAACCGCTTGAGATGGTATTTGAATTAGAAACCGGGACCAGTCCAGTGGTGGTGGTGGTTGGACGGCCTGTGTCCGAGACGGATACTGGTGTGCTCTTGGAAGGAGAACGTGACAGGGCACCAATGGTCTGTCCAATGGTTGTCGTCTTCCCTGACAAGTGGATTTGAACCCCTGAAGACACAGAAAGTACAATAGGGGTGATGGGGTTGTATTTGGGGTATGATTATTACACTTTAATACAATATTCAAACTACTAAATACTGTAAAATTGAAAAATAGTTTCACGTTCTCCAAACTACACTATGAAGTATACGTGTACAAACGAATAATTTTAATTGGTACAAAATGTACAGACTGTATAAACCACAAGACACAGCAGACGTAATGAGAATACCAGTAAAATAAATTACACAAACCCACCTGATGGCAGAGTAATGTTCTTGACCTTGGACAATGTTTCTGAGTTGACACCACAAACAGGTTGGCCTGGGCTTAATCCCATCTTTAGAGTCTGACTTGATAATGAAGTGGTCAGCAGCTGTCCACTAGCCCCTGTTGCTATCATCGGCTTTGGGATGCTTGCCACAGAGGTGGTGGATGCTGTCACTGTGGGCTGGCTGATGAACATGACTCTTGAACTTGGAAGTGATTTTGTGGAAGAGGGATTTGACAAAGCTACATTTGATGAGGAAGAAGAAGAGGGAGTAACCAGGATGAATTTAGCAACTTGGGACCTCTCATCTGTACTGGCCCGTTTCACACCAGTCTTGCTGATGAACTCTGCTTGTGTGAGAACTTGGGGAATACCAGAACTACTCAGTGATGGGACAACAACAGTGTTTTTTACTAATGAAGTTTGAAAATTAGAACCAGCAGCAGCTGTCTGTGCTACCTGGCAAATCTTTGTTGCAACTGTAGAACCAACTGAGGTGTTTGAGAATTGACCTAAAGCAACAGTAGTGCTTGCAGTCTGGCTTCCAGGGCTTGTAACAGGAATGCCACCAGTGACTGTAGTGAATATGGGAGTTGTGACAGCAGAAGGGGACTTTAAAACTGAAGACACCTGCTTCTGAGGTTGGGCCACTGATATACTTGTTAATGCTGGTATGGTGCAAGGGGGTGTGTGAGAGGGAGCAGAAGAAGAAAGGGTTTGTGATGTCTTGGATACGAGGAAGGCTTTAAACTGAGGTGAGATGGTGATGACTGGACTGGTGGGCAATGAACCAAGCACATTCTGGTCTGAGGATGTCTGGACTTTGACGATGCCTGTGTTGCCTCCTCTAGTCGTTACCAGGATGGACTGGGAGTCTCGGATACACACAGTCTTAAGCTCCTGTTTGGGGTCTGTGGATTTAATAGGCTCAGTCAAAACTGCACTAGAAGGAGCGGTGATGGGCGAGGGGTTTGGAGTGATACCTTGTGTTGTGCTAGCTTGGGGACTACAGACTTGTGCCCCCTTGAAACCTGCTGTGTTTATGGCCCCCTGTTGCAGACAAGGGGAAACAGAAGGAGAAGGGGTCCTCACTGTCCTGGCATCTTTTAGTGGAGCCACTTGCTGAACAGGGATTTTGTTTTCAGGAATGGTGAACCCAGGCACATTGGTGGACATACATAAGGGGCTGGATACTTTAGAAACTGGGACCTGAATGCCCTTAGACTGTTGTTGATGTGAAGAAGATGCCTTTTCTTCAGTTTTGTGAATGAGAAGGTTAGAAGGCAGAATCACTACTTGCTGCATGATCTTCTCCCCAGTGTTCTGGTCCATGACAGGATGAACAGAAATCTTGACTGGGCTGCTGCTGTCTTTTCTTACAAGTTGCCCCAGCCCCTCAGATACCTTGTACACCACTTGGACCGGATCTTTTGGTACAGTCTGGGTGGGTTTGGCCTGTTGTGATTTAGGAGGAGCTGCCATCACTGTGGCCATTCCCTGCTGTCTTAATATTTCCGTCTGTAGTCCTTGTGTCTGCATTTGTTGTAAGTTATGGGAAGTGGAGGGAGAAATTTGTGCTTTTGAAAGTTTTGTGGTAGTCACTGCAGAGCTAGGCAGGGAGACCAAAGACCCTTTGTCCAGTCTATCTACATTGTTTACCCCTGGGTAATCAGCGGGCCGTTTCATTAAGGTCACTTTGTTTCCCACACTCTTAGCCAGCAGAGTGGGGATGGGCGTGTAGCCCTTAGGTAGTCCAGTGGTGGGATGGAGGATGGGGGGTCTGGGTGACAGTGAAGCCTGGGCTGGCACCCTTGCTGCCCATGCTGAGTTTGAATCCCTGGATTGATTTGATGGGATAGGTTCAAATCTAGACTGTGGCCCAGAGTCAGTGCAAGAAGTAATGTTACTGCTGCCAGTTTGAACTCTTGGCAGCAGCGTGACGTCTTTCTCTGTACTGACCAGAGGGTGTTTTAGGTGGTT